TCACATTCGAGGATTTTGGAAGGGACGATATTGATTACAGTCTTGTTTTCGATACGAAGGAAATATTTGATAGTGATGTAGAAGCTATTAGATGGACAAAAGAAATGACAATTCAATATGGTTTTGAATTGATCATTTCTTCACACAAAAAAGGTGGAAAGATGGAAGTTGTTGATGTGTGCACGAGGTGACCATTATAGAATCAGTTTTGGAGATTTGGACCGAGTTGCCGAAGTTCAAAGACTAAAGCATGCATTTGCCCGAAAAGGTAGCAATCACGACTGCATCTTGGGGGATCCATGTAAGTCCTGGTGTTAAGGGAATCCATAATCGCGCATTGACTGTATAACAAGAGGGTTATCGATAGATGAGCGAACTTAGCGCTTCATCTAAAGATATTGTGCGCGAAATTACTGCTGCTTAGGTAAACCAATAGTGATTTTGGCTGCAATCCAAGAAAACATCCGTCAGACGACGCTACTCGGCGACATGTATATAACTATAGAGATCAATAGCAGAGAGATAGTTTTGAGGGTAGAGATGTGGCTGCCCAGATTCTGCACTTGGCTTTGGAGAGTAAATGTATAGATTATAGAGATGTTGATGAGGAGACACAAGCGTTAACGCATATATATATGTGCTTTAGGTAGCAGCATTAAATGTAATACTTTACAAATAGGTATCATATAAGTGTTACCAAAAACTACCAAAAGTATTACCTATTTGTAAAGTGTTACATTTGATGGTGCTACCTAAAGCCATTTATGTTGTGCTCATGTTGCATGCTAAAGCAGTCAACCTATTCTATAAATATTACTGGTACATCGACATTGATTCGACGTACAAAATCAACAGGTATGTTACTTTATAAATAACAAATTAATGTGAATTTAATTAGTATGTTTGAGTAAGTTTTTGATTTTATGTTTCCTCTTGTTGTTGGTTACCTCTTCATTTGCACAGGTACAAGATGCCATTGGTGGAAATTGTTGTGATGATGTTGTGCGACAAGAACTTCTTAATTGCATATGCAATTATGAAGGACGAGAGAGAGTACAACTATCAGTAGTTTCTACAGATGTTGAGATATCTGATCAGATCTGATGTACATCCTACAACTATGTCACTGACAGAGAGTTGGTATAGACTCTTGTTCGAATGATTTTTCTAGAATCTGCCCACTTACTTTGCACGTGGCACATCAACAAAGATCTGTAAGACATAGCCGATCGACTGGTTGGAAAAGATAGGGAAATCGCTCCGTTCGCATAGAACATGTGGAAAAAAGGTTGTTGAAGCGGAAACGGAAAATGAATACCACAATGCCGTAACTGAAATGCATGGTCGGTGGAAGATGTTTCAGAAAAAGTTACAATATGTGGAGCACACATGGTTGGTGCACAAGGAAAAGTTTGTCAAAGCTTGGACAAATTTGGTAACACAACCTCGTGTGGAGTTGAGAGTGTGCATGTTGTGTTAAAGCAATGACTTAACACGTCGACCAGTTTGCTCGATACAGTGTGGGTGAAGGTTGATAAGGCGATTGAGTCTCAACTGACTCAAGTCAAGTAAATTTCTTAACCTACACATGTTTCCTATTTTATTAATGCATTAATTATTAATTTTATTTGGTCTATTGTTATCAGGATGGTTTGGAAACTCTCTTCTATCTCTTGTGATGGGCTTAACTCTGATACAGATTGCTTCAGACACGGGTGGTAAGAAATTTGCAACATTGGCTTCTCTCCATCATCTCAGTGCAGAACCAACTGACAACATACCTTTTGTGGTGGCTTTGAAAAGCTAGAAACTTTTGGGTTTTCCAAAATTTCTTGCTTTCTGAATTCTCTATTGTGCAATTAGCCTACTTAACCTAGAAAAAGCAAACCTTCAACTCATCCACCCTCATGTAGTGACTCTTGTAGCAGTTTAGTTTGCTTAGGTTTCTTCTCTTTTTACTGCTTTGTTGGTTTAGTTCTTAGCAACTCTGGTGGTTGTGCTTCTTTGTTGCTTAGGTGCTTGTTTCCTTTTTGTTGGTAGTGATAGACCCACTAGGGGCATTAGCTCAGTGGTGGTTCTATCTTTTGTTTTTCTAGGATTTGAGTTCTAGTGCAACTGGGCTAAGGGACAAGTACAAAGTTCATTGGCCTTATTTATGCCGATTTCTTAGTCTTCCAACTCGGTCTTTTTTTGTTCCTCTCTAGTTCGCTTGCTTAAGTGTCCTCCTATTATACAAACTTGTAGCATGACGTGTATCTGTTATTCTTTTGCCGTTGACTTATAATATTCTACTGTTTTGAAAAAAAAAATCACATACTTTTGCCGTGGAATTAAGCAGTCGAAGGTTATGAATGAGGCCCTGTTAATGAAGATCAGATGGGTTATGCTTACTAAACCGTCAACGTTGTGGGTTCGAGTTATGTGTGCCAAATATAACCTACGTCCTCATGAGATGTCTGGTGCGTTCACTTTTCCCAAGGGGTCGGTTTGCTTAAACGCTGTGGCAAAGGTTTGGGCGCAGGTCCGGCAAGGTGTGTGATGGGCTTTGGGTGATGGGCGACAAGCGCGGTTCTGGACGGATATATGGCTGAACGTGCAGGAACCTTTGATCAACATGGCGAGAGTGATGCTGCCGGAGGAGTTGCTTCATGAACCAGTGGCTGCATTTGTATCGAGGACGGGCGAATGGTGGTGGGAAAAATTTGAGACATTTCTGCCGGCCAATACCTTGTTGATTGTCGCGGCGGTGATGCCACCTTCTTCCTCGGCTCGGGCTGATCAAATGATATGGGGGTACACATCGAACGGAACGTTCTCGACGAGGACAGCTTATGAAGCTCTGTCGCGAAGGGTTCAGACCAATGTCCGGCCGTTGTGGAAAGCTATCTGGAGAGCGCCGGTTGCCCAACGGGTTCGTCATTTTTTGTGATTGGCTAGCCGGGATCGATTGTTTACGAACATGGAACAGACTCGTCGACATATGGCTGCAGACGTTGCGTGTTTAATTTGTGGCTTGCCCGAGTCCACAACACACGTACTCCGGGACCGTGAGAAAGCACGACGGGTTTGGCAGCAGCTAATTCCGAGTGCAGGTCGACGAAAGTTTTTCTCCCAAGATGTTAGCGAGTGGCTGTGGGTGAATTTGGTGGAATCTGCATCTAATGGGATGGATAATTGGGCTACTATTTTTTCTATAACTTGTTGGCGCTTATGGGCTTGGCAGAACATGACGGTGTTTACTAACAGGACATTGCCGCTTGAGGTGCAACTTTCAGATATTTGGAGACGAGTGGGCAGCTACGTATGCAACACGACTTGTGCAAATGCGTTGGGTGCGGGTGATCATCGCTATGAGGAAATAATTATCCGTTGGAGTCCTTCTCCGGTGAACTGGATTAAGATTAACACGGATGGCGCTTTGTGTACAGCTTCTGGAAGGGGTAGTGCTGGAGGGCTAGCTCGGGATACGTATGGTCGATGGATGGGCGGGTTCCTTATGAATGTGGGATTTTTCTCGATCACTAGGGCGGAACTTTGGGGTCTTTATCATGGTCTTAACCTGGCGTGGGAGTTGGGAGCGCGTCACGTTTTAGTAGAAGTGGATAACAGCAGTGTCGTGGCCATGGTCTCGGGGACTGAGGTAAATCTCGGGCTCCATGAATCCATCATCCAAGCTATTAGGGATCTACTCAAGATGGAGTGGTGTGTCCGACTGTCTCATATCTATAGGGAAGGCAATTTCGCGGCTGATAAATTAGCATCGTTGGCTGCTGGTGTTGAAGTGGGATTTCATCGTCTTATGGACCCGCCGCCGGAGCTTGGGCATTGGCTGAACTATGATATCTTAGGAGTGGCTCGTCCACGCCGTGTGATGATTTAGTATTTCTAGGCTTTGGCCTCTTTTATTGTACACAAAAAAAAAAAATTATTCCACCATTTGTTTCTTTTTCCAAACCAAATTGTTTCCATTCATACGGAAATATAATGGGAAATTTTTATGTGTCCTACAAGAAACTGAAATTATTGTAAAAGTACCACCTATATACAATATATTGTATCTCTACCAAATTGTTGAAAATATACTATATAAATCCCTAAAAATTAGTTAACAACAAGTCAGACTCCATTCACTTTTCACTTCCAAGATTTCCGCACTGTTTTCAAAAAAAAAAAAAAAATTGGATTTATGAATATGGAATTAAAATCCTCTTTGTAACGTTTTTTGCGTATGAAATGAAAATATAGGAACATTGACTTTGAAGAATGCTCATGATCGATTACTCACAGACCGATTCAAAGGAAAATATGCTGAGAAAAAAGGTCCGAACTTTGGTCGAGATCGATTAACGCCAAGAGAAAAAAAAAAGTGAAAAGACGAGTGTGGAGTATATTTTGTCCATCAAAAACGATTGTGAGGCATATTTTTTGATTGGGATTTGTCTCCCAGTTATTTACGTTCGGTGTATCTGTTAAAAGGATGGGTCCATTGTCGGCCAATTGTTGTTGTTGATGGAACATTTTTGAAAAAAAAAACATTCAGGTTACTTTTTTACTGTAATAAAAACATGTATTGTAATTCACGCAACCATCAGGTGGTATATATTGCGGTTATATTAGTATATATATTCAATATATGTTACAATGAAAAATATGTGTTACATCAAAAAATTATTGTTCCCATTTTTTTTTTTACTTTTATACATAAAAGTATATATATAGTTTATAAACATATTATAACAGGTAACTTATATTCCCTATGCAAAAAGATCTTATAAATATACAGAACATATACTAAACATATACTCCATATACACACAACAAATACCCGCAACATATACAAAATGAAAACTATCTATCAACGAATCAAGCACATCAAGTTTTCGACAATAAATCTTCTATTATACAGAACATATACTGAGCATATTCTCCATATATACATAACATATATACCCGCAACATATACAAAATGGAAACTATCTATCAACGAATCATCGGCCAGGATGCCGTGGTGGCCGCGGGCTGGCTCGGGAAGGCGCAAGTCATATTCTCTATATATACTATACATATACGATACCGTCGTCCCCGAGCTCACCGCCCTCCGATCCGGCTCCCCGACCAACGTCATCTGCCTCTCCGACGACCTCCTCTGCAGCATCTTACCCTTCCACGCTCTCATCTTCTTCGACGCCAAGCACCTGCACTCCAAATCTGAGCTCTCCCTCCCCGCCCTAAGATCCGAATTCTCCCTCCTCTCCTCCACCTCCCGATCCAACAACTCCTCCGTCGATGGGGCCAGCCCAGAAATCTTCTTCTTCAACCTCGAATTCCAGGAATCTCGGTCTTCTTTCTCCGTCTTCGGCATCAGCACCCTCCCACACATCCGCCTCCTCTCTCCCGATGTCGTCGAATGATGGAAGCCTCCGTCTACTCCGGCCACGCCAAATCCATGCCTCCGTCTACAATCGATTTTTTTGTAGAGAGAAGGTGGGGGTGGTTTTGCAGAGAGATATGATAGCAGATAGAGAGATGTTATTTTCCACTCTTTTTGGTAAGATTATATTTGATTTCAATTAATTATTCCAATTGCATTTAATTAGACCCAATAAATGCTTAATAACGGTTACATCTACAAAATTCAACCTCTTAGGTATAAGTGCAATATTTTATGCTTGTTTTGGTAATTTTATAAATAAAACAATATTTGTGTAAAAGTGTAATATATATCATAATTTATTGTAAGGGTGCAATTTCCTCTAATATATTAATATATCAATTGCAACTTGGATATTCTTTCATTCCCATAGTTAGAGCAGTCACCCGCGGCCCGCTGTCCCTAAACAATTTGTGAATGAGAGCTTGTGAAACTATTGTTTTTTATTGATGATATGTTGCATCAATTGGTAACATCCATTTAAATGTGGTGGTGTTACAACTTCATCTCCATTATGTATGGAGTTATGAAGTGAGTTATGAAGTGAATTCATGTCTTCATTAAGTGTGAAGTCATGTCTTCATTAAGTTAATAGTTGTATTAAGACAACTATAAATAAGGTGCTTGTGTGCATCTTGAAAAGTGAACAATACGAGACAAGAAAAACAAGTTATAGAAAATACATAATCTTTATATAGTGCTTTTCTCTTGTTGAGCCGAAACCATCAAGGCAGCTCGGATTTTAGAACGTGGAGGATACCAACGACTCTAGTAGTCGTCGGATAAAAGATATACGGGCAAGAAATCGCTTCCGCTACATAAAGGTTAGTCCTATATATATTTATATATGTGTTATATAAAACCACTAACAGTGGTATCAGAGCCCGTTTATTCCTCCGACGTATTTTTTGTAACACAAATATATTTATATATTTGTTACATAAAATTCATTCTATTGATTAACTAAGTGTTAAATATAGAATGAGTGTCATTCATGAATTTGTGATCATGAAGATGATATATAAAAAAAAATGATATGGGGGAATAAATTAGGTTTTGTTACCTAATTAGTGTATAAATAAAGATTTTAATGCGAAGAAGTACAAATGATTTTACCTATCTCTTTATTATATCTTTTTCTTTCATATTATTTGACTAATAATAATATTTGTTATTATTATGATATTTATATGGTATTCATGTTTACCATTACATAAAGATTATTTTGAAATTATCTTAATATTTGTTATTATGATGAAAAGAATAAATCAATATTTTAGTAATATTGTGTGACTTCTTATTATTATTTAAATTATCTAAGTAATATTTATATAATTATTTAATATGATACATGAATATATGTTATTCATGTTATTAGACGTAAATATCTTTGTGATGATTATATTTATTTAATACAATACATGAATATATGTTATTCATGTTACGAGACTTAGTAGATATCTTTGTGATGTTTATAATTATGATACATGACTATTGTTATTCATGTTAAGAGACTTAAATATCTTTGTGATATTTATATTTGTGTTTATTTGTTAAACAATAACATGAATAAATGAATATGCTTCACTAAAACAAGGTTGGTTAAATTATGTTTATTTTTGTTTGTGTTATTTGTGATGATTATAAGCTTGGCGAAATTTTCGAACTCATGGCATAAACAAAAATAAAAATGATAATTTAATTATATTGACCTCATGCCTAAAATCCATTTTATATACTTGTAGATGACAACTAAATCCATGATTGGAGATTTGTCCTCCAACGAAAAGCTAGATGGTACCAATTACGACATCTGGCATAGGAAGATTCAGTATCTTCTTAATGAACGCGAGGTTTTGGAAACCTAGTCCACTACTGTGATTGAGCCAAAGGATACTGCCAGTGCGCTGTACAAGGAAGAATTGACAACCTATCAGACGTGGTCCAAAAAGGATTGTTCTGCACGCTATACTATGTTGTATTGCATGCATAATGACCTTATTGGAGAGTTTGAGAATTGTCTCATGGCTAAAGACATGTGGGACAAGCTTAAGGTCACCTTCAGACAAACTTCGGCTACTAGGCTCCGTGCCTTGAACTTAAAGTGGATGGATTACAATATGGATCATAAACACTCTGTTGCCGAACATTTGCGTGTCATGAGTGCCATGATACATGACCTGAAAGCTGCGGGACGAGATGTATCTAACGAGGAACAAGTTCTAAATGTGGTTCGTTCACTTCCAAATGATTCTGAGAATTGGAAGAACTTCAAACTCCTCATGGCTCATAGCGAGAATGTAAAAACTTTTTCAGAACTCGCTAAACATATTGAAATGGAAGGAGAACGTCAGAGAACGTTAGCACCTTCCGATGTTGCATTTGTCGCCCATGGCAGCCAAGCCAAGGAAAATAAACGCAAACGAGCCAAGAAATTTTCTCGTCATTCTCAAACTTCTGGATCAAATGGTGGTTCAAAAAAATAACTTATGGCACATGGCCAAAGGGAGAATAAAATAGCGCGTGTGAAGTGCTATAATTGTGGACAGAAAGGTCATTTCGCTCGTGATTGTGCTGAGCCGAAAAAGGTACCTTCTACCACTAACTCTTTTGAACTATTTGTTTGTTCTCATGCATTAGTTGCTAATTCTATTCCTAATTGGATTATAGATACGGGAGAAAGCAAGCACATAGTTCACGAAAGATCTGGATTTGTGGAGTTCCACCGATTTTCTATTGGCACTCAAACTGTCATGTTAGGAAATGGGAGCGAGGAAGATGTCCTTGGGGTTCGAACATACCAACTTAAACTCCAGGGTGGAAATACACTACTCTTGCATGATACTCTCTATGCACGATACTCTCTATGCACCTGGGGTGCGAAGTTGTTTACTTTCAGTTGTTTCCTGGTTAAAACTTGGTTTTTCTTTTAACTTCAATACTAGCGGTTTGGACATTTTGTATCATGAAAATTTATTCGGACATGGTATTTTAAAGAATGTTTTCTTTGTTCTTGACTTGGATGAAAGTTATAATGAATCATCACATGCTTTTGCTTCATTTTATAATGTTGATTCTGAATCTGTTAAATGGCATGCGCGACTTGGCCATATTGGTCAAGATAGAATGTCAAGACTAGCTAAAGAAGGACATTTGGGACAATTAACTAAGGTTAAAATGCTTAAATGTGAACCTTGTCTAGCTGGAAAAGCTACTAAAAAGCCTTTTAGTAAGGCATCAAGAGCATCAAATCCTTTAGAGCTGATTCATTCTGATATTTGTGGGCCTTTAAATATAAAAGCTCGTCATGGGGCTACATATTTATTACCTTTATAGATGATTATTCACGTCATGGGTATGTGTACCTATTATCTCATCAACACGAAGCACTTGATACGTTCAAACGTTTTGTGGCCGAAGTTGAAAACCAAAAGGAACGAAGAATTAAGACTCTTCGTACTGATCGGGGACGTGAATACCTCTCAGATATGTTCAAAGAGTTTTGTGAGACTAAAGGTATTTCAAGGCAACTTACGGTTCCTTATACTCCGCAACAAAATGGTGTTGCTGAAAGAAAAAATCGTACGTTGACCCCGAACTCGTGAATCCCATGGGACGGGTCGCAGTTTCCCCGAAGCCGCCTCCGGAGGAAAGGGGAATGATCCCCGAGCATAAAGCTGCCGAGCCAGAATAGTGCCGGACTGACTGGTCGGTTCGGTGGGAATGAGGAAGGGTGCATTAATATTTGACAAGACTAGCAACTACCGGCCGACCTAGGGACACACGTCCCATCTCCCAGATTGTCTTCGAGATGCGACGCCATCATTGAGCATTAATTCAACAGAATAATTACTAGATTTAGAAAGGATTTTGTACTACACATAGTTGTAGTACACACACATGAATAGTGACAGATAGTACACTCCCTATAAATAGGAATTTGTAAAGTAAGAAAAGGATCTTTTTGGGAGGCTCAGAAAAGATTCGACCGAAAAAGAATTACCAAACCGGCTCTTTGAGTCCGGCGCACATCGATAATACACATATATTTACACATATACATATCCAAAAAATTTCATTTCGAGGGATTTTTCCCACTCCTTTGGAAAACATTCGTTGCTACGAAATTGTTGGCAACAATTTGGCGCTAGAGGAAGGGCCTCATATCATTTGAGGTAACCCTCATAAAGATCCAGCTTACCACGAAAAGAGAAAGGCCAAGGATGTCATCGTCCAGCAAAACCAATGAGCCTGACGATCCAGGAACCGGCCAACAACCTTCAACCAACCCGTCCATCGATCTTACGGTACTCATGCAAGACCCAAATTTTGTGAAAGGATTCTCAAGCCTCCTGACGCAAACCCTGTCGTCGCCTTCAAACCTGCTAGTGACGCCGGCAAAGAGGGACCTGAACGCCATGCAGCACGGGTGGAGAGGTTCAGTCACATCATACTCCACCAAAGAATCGTCAGATCCGACGTACACCTTGCCGACCGAACCAACCGATACCAGCGAGGAAGAAAGAACTGGTAGTCGCGACCCTGAAAGCGATGCTCGCTCGTCATCGGATGACTCGACCTCATATCGGACAGGAAATAAAAAGACGATGCTCGACTTGCGGGAGAAGTTATTAAGGAACCTAACCGCGAGAAGGAAAACCGAGGAGATAACCGCCCTTAAGCGAAAGTAGCCGAACTTGAATCCAGACAGAAGTCCTCGGAACCGACTCCCGACGGGTTGGGGGTGCCTAGGAATACAGCGCCCCAGGACACTGCCTCCCCCTTGTCATTGGACATCCTGGGAGATCCGCTCCCCGATAAGGTCAAAGTTCCCCAGATTGCCTTATACGACGGAAGTTCTGATTCGGATGCCCACTTGGGGTTATACACCTCGTGGATGGATTTACATGGGGCGAAAGATGCGCTCTGGTGCCGCATGTTTTCGCTCACGCTGGGGCGGGCGCAGAGGTGGTACCACTC